TTTTTATTTATTTTTTTATTGTTGTATCAATGTGCATAAATCCTTTTTATTCACATCATATATATGCCTTTTATTATTTCAGTTAAATTTCAGTTTATTAATTGCCATAAACAAAATCTGTTTGTTTGAGACAACGATCTGGTGAACAAATTAAAATTAAGAGCAATTATTTAAACAGAAAGAAAGAGTTATAAAATGTAAGCAAAAAATAATTTATCTTTATTAAAATTGAAAATCATTTGGGCATATATTTTTGTTGCAGTTGTTGTAGCTTTGGCAAACGAAGGACAATCGAGATTCGTTTTGATAGAAATATCATACATACATAGATATACATATGTATAAATTTTGGTAAATTTCTGGCATTTTATTGTGGCACTCAATTCACAGCCTCACGCCGTATCTATACATGTGCATTTCGACCATGATTTGTTGTTGTGCTCAGCCCTTTTTGTTGTGCTTGCTGCGGCGTCTTTATGTTATTTATTGCATACTTTTTGGGGCGTTTGATAATTGTTTAAAGAAAATATTACGCATACGCAAGCGATTTGCCTGCTGTATTCACAGCAGTGAATCGTTCTGCTATTTGGCATAAGTCACAGGCGCCATGTGGTTAAGCATTTTTGGCTCTGTCCAGATTTGGGCAAGGCAAGGCCAGCAAGATGGCTCGATGGCTCAATGGCTCGATGGCCGATTCGGCCACACATTTGACCCTAAATGGTCAACATTTATCAAGCGTTATTGGTCTCAGGGGTTACACAACGTAAATTGTGTGGTTGCCAATTGAGTGACCCGGCGAGCCACTCGGTCACTTGTGCCTCCATCTGTCTGCTGGCTCTCCCTCTCTCTCCCCCCCTCTCCCTCTCTCTCCCGCTAGCTTTGCGGCAACTCGACAGCTGTCCGTGTGTCCGTGTGCGTGGGCACATCAGTGTGGCGCGCTTGGCAAGCTGCTGCTGCCTCGTGCTTCGGGCACTCACATTTGATATTTTTCTTTTCGTTTTTGTGTTTCAGTTGCTTACCTCCTTTTTGAACGTCTCCATGATGGCATAGCCACTGCCGCTGATGTGGGTCGTCTGTTCGCGGGCGGCCTGCATGCAGGAAGCCAGTACGTCGCCGCTCTGCTGGGTCCAAAGGAACGCATAGGCGTGGAATTTGGCAGCATAATTTAGCGCCGCCTGCACCGTTTCACTCAAGGCGTCGCGTATGCTGGCGCAAAGCATTTCCAACTCATCGGCTGCAGCTGCGAATGTAGTTCATAAGCAAACGCCAGGAATGCCGCACGCCCGGCCTGCCAAGGCATGGCGTGGCATGGCGGCACCTTCTGCAATGCGACTGCTGGTGCATGGTAAACTGTGCGGCGTCAACTCACCCTCGCTCTCAGCGTCATCCTCCACGTCGTCGTCGTCGTCGTCAGACAGCGAGTTGTCAGACACAATTCTTGGCATGCAGTCGCATGTCTGTTTTATATCCAGCAACAGCTGCTCGACAATTTGTTGAAAATTATTTTCCACACTTGCATCAAAGCCAGGCGAAAAACGTATTTCCGTTTCCGTCAGCTCCAATTTCACTTCGAAAAGCGGTGCATCGTTTGTTGGTGTTGTTCCGATTGCTATGGCTGTTGCTGTTGCTGTTGTTGTGGCTGATGTTGTTTTGCTTGTGGTTGTTGTTGTTGGTATTATTGTCGCTGTCGCTTGTGGCGCTGTGATTTGTTGTAGCACCAACCTAGCCATGCTCGGCAAGGCCATACTTGAAGTTGGGGGCGCTATTGAAGTTGCCTTAGCTGCACCAGTTGTAGTTGTTGTCGTTGCTGCTTTTGTTGTTGCTGTTGCCGTTCCTGTCATTTCCTTGTGCAAATACTCTAAACTGAATTACACGGCGTATGAGTAATGCGAAAATTAAATTTAGTGCTGAGTTTGTTCTGTGCTTATTTCGATTGCGTTTTCTGATGACGCTGCTGCTGTTGCTGCTGTTGCTGCTGCCGCTGCCGGCGCTGACAGCGCTGCTGCTGCCACTGAGGACTCAGCTTGCAATCACGAAGTGCCGTTAAGTGAAACATGCAATTGACGCATGAATGCCCTGCCACCAGCAAAAATGTAGTTGTTCTTCTCGAACTTGCTATTGTTGTTGCTGTTGTTGCTGTACTCGTTGATATATGTATGCATGTATGTGTGTGCTGGCTGCGGTCGGTGCTGGTGAAGGTGTCTGCCAGTCTTGCGGTTGGCTGTGCTCAAATGCGGGTGGGCTATAAATTCGTGTTCATTTACTTGATTAGTTCTGATGAGACATGAAAGGCGCGCTGGCAGCGTGCCAGTATGTAATGAATACATACAAACACATACATATATATATGTATATATACTAGTTGTTGCTCGCTCGGTGATTGCATGACTGGGCGTGACAATGGTTAAGTGAGTTGTTTCGCAGGTGCTACCTGAAAAGTCTGATGAAAGCGATAGTTATGATGATGAGCATGATATGATGATAACTGGCAAATGATCTATCGTTGAAGTTTAAGTATTTTGGGAGTTTTTATGACTATTTAAAATAAGGCAGGGCTTATTTTGATTTCATTTAATTGAAAGTCCATGACAAGTAAAGAAAATTTGTTTTTTCTGTGCTTTGCATATTTATCAATATGAATATTTACTGATTCTATTTATTCATATATTTCGAAAATTTAAGCCAAAATATATATACATATATGTATATAGATTTTGTTTCACTTATTA